GGGTGTCCGGGCCAACTTACACGCACCACGACTAATCCCCACGGCCAACTGAACATCCTGCAAGCCCAGTGAGCAGGTAAGGCACCGCGGGGGTGACAAACGTGCATGGTGAGGTTCGAACCCAGGTGCGGAAAAAGGGAACAAGCCCCTTCCACCGCTAGGCCAGAACCTCACTTGCAAAAAACACTAATTAATTTTAGTTATAGGTAATATGATTCTAAAATTGCAAACCCAATCTTTGCGATCGGAGATGTCATTAAAGTACAAGGATACTATAGTTGTACTGCGACAAAAATGGGATCTTTAATTGCTTCTTTGGAAACAGTTTCCATAAAATCATCGTATGCATGGCAGTGGGAGTGGTTTGGGAACGAATTGGATTTTTTCTCCTGCCCGGTTGTCTCATGTGGCTGTGATAGAGGCATTGCTATTGAGAACTTGGTAACTACTACATCGAGGTTCTGACGTTGTTTTCTGGGATAAGACTTAGATTCAAATTACTATGATGTTACAATCAATTGACTCCATAGATTTTATTTTGATAAGCCTCTTGAAACCTATGTTCCTATGTCATGCATTTGTCTGAACTTTTAGCTCCTCGCCAGTTAGGCTTTTGTCAGTACTTTTAGACAACGTACGTGGATCTGGGAACAGCATGTGGCAAGTATTTTCGTGTATCATGCCTTAGCATTATTGACCCAGGTAAGATCAGTTTTCATGATTAGTAGTTCGTTGAGTTACAATTCAACGAGCTATGTCCCATCATTATGTTGTGCAGGTGATTCTGTGATTCTGGTATTATCATGAGGACCGAGAACCGTAGGAAATGGGGGGATTGCGCCGACTTAGATGATTCCACAATGGATTGGCCACCAATTTGGCTTAACTTTTCTTTATTTTCTTTTTCGTACAAACCAGTTCGGTATGATAAACTCTCAGAGAACCTCGCGTCCAGCCAAAGTTGTCTATTTTCCACCCAGTAGGTTGGTGAAGACAGCAACAACGGATGGCCATGGCTTGTAACAGCCATGATGGTGGCATCGAGTAATTAAATAAGGATAGTAATGTGGATAACATACGCAATAGCAGAGGTGCCCGTGTATTAAATTGGTGGTGAGTATTTCGTGTTGAAGAGTTTAGGAGTATGCTTGCCTCTTCCCGTGTTAGCTCTGACAAGGGCCGTTTTTTCTGCTATCTATAATTGGATTTGGCACAATTTTCAGGCACCGAACCGATCCCTTTATATCAATCATCTTATCAATTTTGGCTCAAAAATGAAACTTTCTGCTGGTGCTAAATCCATAAAAATAGTAACATAGCATTGTTTTTTTTAAAAAAAAATTTGCCGTAAGAAATAAGTAAAGTTCAGCTAATAGTATTTGAAGTCCTAAAATAAACAATTAACAGGTAAGCAAGCAAGCGGTTGGCTAAAACCAAACTAATTAGTCGACCCCTTAATCCCTTAAAGCCCGGATTAAGATATGCGATTATTTTCCATAACTACTCTGATTTTCTTTCAAGTTTTTCTCATCATTAATTATCCATCAAGCAAACAAAGAAAAATAAAAAACCGACTTGAAAAAAAGATATAAATTAATAATATCATGAGAATAAAATCTTGAATGAAAGCGGTGTGCCTACACATGCCTCTCTCTCTTGGTGTCTCTCGTATTGTGAGTTGTCCTTCCGGGATCATCAAGGATTCGAATCTTCCTCTATCCTGTGTAGTGCGTCTCTCTTTGTTGTAATTAACTGCCTGGGAGGCAATGTCCCACGAGGCCACAATGACCCTTCATCTCCGCTCCTCTTCTCTTTTATCCGTTCCTTGGTATGCTCTCTTTTATCCAAATTTATGGTGTCCCTTTTCATCTCTTGCGTGTGTTATTCGATATATGAAAACTTTATTGTGATGATCATATGTAGAAAGTAAATGCTTGATTGTTTTTGGATCAGTTCTTGGTTTTTAATGCTGGGTACCTTCTCATGTTTGTTTTTAAATTGTGTTGCGTTGGTGTGAATTAGGAGTGTGTATGTTTTTTACGGTATTGCTGCTCCTCTCTTCTCCTGTCCTCTTGTTCTAGTTTTTATCATTGGTTTCTGTTTGGACTTCTGGTTTTGTTTTCTATAATATATTTTTGTCAGAAGAAGAGTACTAAACTGTAGAATCTTGATTATGGTAGCTTTAAGAACAAAGGAAAAACTCATAACATGGAAACGCAATCAAATTCGACGCATCATTTAATTACTTAATAAACTCTATCGCTGAGTTTGATACGATGAAACACACAGGAATTTTTTAAATATTGTGAACCACGACTGGTTGTTTTGATTCTGAAGTGTTAAAAATAGTGGGAGATAATATGTTTTCTAGAATAAACAACAAATTGATCGGTTTGACCTCCCAAAACAAGAAAAGCTAGCAAATAGTAGAGGATATGTTCAGGCTTTGTTTTCTGGCTTTTAGTCATCCTACCTTGCATGCCAGATGTTTCTCTTCATCCTTCACTGTCAAGCTTTATGGACCCTTGGAGACCTCCCTTTCTTTTGTTTTTATCTAATACTTTACTCTCATATAAAAAAAATATTGGGATTCCATTGTTTTTAGTCGAATTGAAGTGCATAACTGGATAATCCTTAATTTTCCCATCTTAAGTTTCTTCAAAAGGAGAGAGATGGGCCGCTAGAAATATCCATATGATACTCCATATTTATCTATTTGATACTCAGTGGACCACGCGGACGGTTCATGATGGGACTCTATCTTGCGGGCCTGTGGATAGTGTACATTCTAATACCTTGGCTCAAAATACCATAGGCCTGGCCGGTGTTGTTTACACGTTAATTTTGGGAGCCACTTTATAACGTAAAAGGGAAGGTATAACCAAAAACACAATCCCCTCAACCATCCATGTGGCCCTCACCAGTCCGCGGGCTGGTTTTAGATTTTTTTCCATTAAAAAATAGGATTAAAAGAATTCATGATTTAGGTTAAAAACTTTACCAACTTCTTCTAATTATATGTTATAGAAAAACATAATAATAGTAAATGGATTGAATTAAAAAGAAAAAAAAATCATGATGGCATGTATAAAAATAGCGCCTACTAAAAAATAAATACATTATGTAGCTTAATTTTTAAATAACAAAATGTTCAACAATAAAATTTTTTTAAAAAATAAAAAATAAAATAAAATATTTGAGTCAATCCAAGTTAGTATGTGTAAAAAAATAAAAAATAAAATAAAGCATTTGAATCAACCCAAGTTAGTATGTATATCAAACCTGAGACCTGAGTTGTTAGGTTAGGATAACCCTATAAAAAATAAATTATAAAAAAAATATGATACTTTGTTTTTAATTATTTAAATATAGAAAGATGAAATAAAAAAATTAAAAAACCCAAAAAATCCCAACAAGGCCACCAAATTCCACAAGCTAAATCATTTGAGTAAGATAATTTAATAGAAAATAAAATAAGAAAAACTATGAGGTCCAAATCTTAAACTAACTCAATATTAAAGAAAAAACATAAAAAAAGACCTGAAAAAGGACTAAAATTATTTGAATTAATCCGTCAAACTTATAAATTAAATTATAAGATTGATATAACCCTTTAAAATAAAAATAAAAATCATAAAATTCAATTCTCAACAAACACAATGATGAAATATAAAACTAAAAAACTAAATTATTGGAAAAAAAACTAATTTCAACCAAAATTAAGATTTCAAACATATAACCCAAGTCATAAAACTATGATTAATATATAAAAAAATATAAAATTTAATTTTTTATTAATTTAATATCAAATAATAAAATTAAAAAGCCTGAACAAAAAAAAATCTTCTCTCACTGTGCAAGTTTGTCTCTACTGTTAGCAAACAAAAGGGACTGATATTTAATCTTCAATTTGCTATTTATTTTTTTAATATTTAATTTATAATTCTTTTAAATCAATAAAATTTAATTTAATTTTTGCAAATCAAGCATTTACTGAGCTCCTAACAATGTGAGGTCCTTGTACGTCGGCATAAAATTCAATCATAAAGAAAAATCTTAAATTAATGCAATTTAAATGACCAAATAAAATGAAAAAAAATTAAGGGATAAAAAAAAAAGTTTTTGTTACGTGAATTCATAATGAAATAGACCACATTAAATGATTGATTCCTCTTATTTTTTTATATTTTTCTTCTAGAAATCGGTCAACATGTATCTTTGAATAATATTGTATTAGATTTCAATTTTATATGTAGTGTATATCTATTACTAAATAGATATAATACATGTTAAGAGGTTTAAAGGGTATGTGAGAATATAATAGATATTATTTTTGTAAATTGTGTTTTGTTTGGAAATTTATTAAAATAATATATATATTTTTATTTTTTTAAATTTATTTTTTATATTAACACATTAAAATATTTTAAAAATAAAAAAATATTTTTTTAAAAATTAAATTTTAACAAATAACCATTTCAATCTCAATGGCAATCACCCCTGATTAGTGATCTTACGCAGCTGCTTCACAAAATCTTGTCTTTGATTTTGATTGCGTACGGATTCTCTTCTTGCAGGCAAGTTAGCATTGGCACCAGGTTCTGAGTAATTAAAATCATCTCGACGTCACAGATTTTAGCCGTCTTCCCGCTGCTGCTATCTTTCCCTCTCTTCAATACTACTGCTCTTATCGACACCACACTGTTCTCCTTCCATCTCCCTCCCTCTATTTTGAGAAACCACGGCTATTTATTGACCAGCCACATTGCCAACAGTATAACTCTTCTTTCCATCCACTTCTAGATTAGATTCCCAATCCAAGGCCAAATCCCCCTTCCCTTTTTCTTTCGTTTTAAAAACGCAGACCCAAAATTAACCAAGAAACATCAACACAAACCCATAATTCACTGCGACAGAGTCTTTTGGCTCTGGGAATTGAATCTCCATGAGAGGGCGATGTTTCTTAAGAGGTACGTGATAGCTTAAGTTCAAGCATGAACATGGCTTCCAACGTTTCATCACTATCTTCTTCAACTATCGTTGGTGAGTGCATTGGTATAGAGAGCTGCCTTGATCTTAAGAACGAAGATGATATATTCACATCCTCATCAAATAAAGAAGAGACTAATTATGAGAGTTGTAGTCAACGTTTTCATCGCGAAAAGAGAGAGCAACGGTGGGTTAAGAAAAAGGAGTTTCCACCACCAATACCATTGTTGGCTCGTACGGAGAATTTGTCTTCCCATATGCCTTGGGTTTTAAAGAGGTACTATACAAGTGATGGAAGACTGATACTTAGAGAAGAGAAGGTCAGGCGTCATGAGTACTTGCGGGCTCACAGATCCAATGGACGTCTCACTTTGCATCTTGTTCCTTTGAATGATGAAGTTTCGGCCCCTCTTTTCTTCTGGTGATGAGAGACGTCATGTCATTGAGAATGATATTGATCAGTGCTATGATAATGAAGATGATGGTGAAGAAGAGCAAGTACTCGAGCAAGAACATGAAGAAGATGAGTAAGAAAATGAAAGCCTTGTAGAAGAAAGTATTGATGTGAAAGTAAATGACAATGATGGTGTAGAAAATTATTATTTTGGTAATAATGTTGATAGTGGTGAAAATATAGAGTTGGAGGAGGAGGAGGCGGAGGAGGAGGCTGTGCATGATGATCAAAGAGTTCCTTCTATGGAAAGTTCTGAGAGTGCAGGCAAATGCTTGAACTACAACAGTGTGAGAACAAGCTCCACTTGTATATTTGGGGTGCCAGTACCAGCTATAAGGCCAGTTCATACATAAGACAAACAATTAAAAAAAAAGACTGGAATTCCATTTTTAGTTTCGATGAGAATTATTTATTGAGAGATTTAGCAGCTCACTCTCATGATTTCGATGGACATGTAGCACAATTCAATATCTATATAGGTCTGGATAGCGGATGGTACCGTAGTCTTATCGATTTTAGGTTCATCAGTATAAGAGAGGAGGTTTTTCATTTTGAACTAGGGAGTTCTGTATTTCAGAGATACTCTGTTTCATGCTTATCCATTGATTATACCTTCCTCTCTGCATTTATGTATACAGTTTATTTTCTTTTTGGTTTAAATATAACTAGATTAATGGCACACTTGTTGGTCTGATAAATTTTTCTGATTTAAAAAAAATTAGTTATTGCTAATATTTTTTTTAATAAAAAAATTAAACCATGTGGGGATTAACTTGATGTGATCCAATTATTTTGATGAATTGAAAGGTAGTATAAATGACTAATAAAAATATAATTTAACTTGGAATAAATATAGAGACAATAATAAATTGGATTGATTTTGATCTACTCTTGTTAACTTGTTAATCTGCATACTAAGTCAATAAATTATGATAACCCTATATAAAGTAAATTAAAACAAATTATGAAGCTTAATTTTCAATAAATTCAATATTGGAGGATGAAATTAAAAAAAATCAACTAAAAAATTATCCGAGTCAACCACATTAACCAATCAAACTTATAGCTAGAGTCATAAGACTGAGATAACCTAATAAAAAGAAAATTAAAATAAATAATTGAGTTCAATTTCTAATCAACTTAATATTAAAAGATAATTTTTTAAAAAAAAAAGTTTAATTAAAAGATGATACAAAAAACAATTCGAGTCAATTTGAGCTAAACCACTAAATTAGTGACTCGAGTTATGAGATGAGAAAATCTTTATAGAAAACAAACCAAAATAAATCACAAACCTTAATTCTCAATCAACCCATTGTTAAAAGATAAAATTAAGAGGAAAAAATGTCAATTAGAAAAAAGGAAACAAACTTGAAACAACTGAATTAACTTGTCAAACTCGCGATTTGGGTTATAATATAGAGATAAATTCATAAAAAGTAAATTGAAAAAAATCATGATGTACAAATCTCCAATAAACCTAATATTGAAGGATGTAATTGAAACTGAAAAATCAATTAAAAAATGACAGAAAAAATAACTCAGGTTAACCCGCTAAACCCATGACCCGATTCATGAGATGAGAATAACCTCATAGAAAGAAAACCAAAACAAATCGCGAAGCCTAACTCCCAATCATTCAAATGATAAAAGATGAAATTATAAAGAGAAATAAATTAGAAAGAGGGGATGAACTCAAGTTAATCGAGTTAACCTATTAAACTTGTGGTTTGAGTTACGAAACTGAGATAACCATAAAAAAATAAAAATAAAAATATAAAAAACTTAGATTGAAAAAAACACAAATAACAAAACACTATTTTATTGAATAATGTTTTGTAAGGGGAATGTAACCCCCTTTTCTCCTATAGTTTTTTGTTAATGTAATTAAAATAAAATAAATTAGTTAAATATAAAAAAATAACTGGAGTTAACTTGTTAAACCCATGAGAGTGATAACTTATGAAAAACGAATTAAACAAATCATAAAGTATAATTCTTAATCAATTGAATATTAAAGAGGAAACTGAGAGGAAAATAAATTAGATAAAGGGGAAAAAAACTTAACTCAACCAAGTTAACAAGTCAAACTCACAATCAAAGTCATGAGAATGAGATAGCCACATGTAAATTAAATTAAGGGAAAAAAATTAATAGTGATCCTTGTAAATGTATGGTTATGGATGTGATTGGAATGAATTAGGGTTATGCCGATAAATGTTTAATCATAGATGAAAAACCAAATACAAACATTGCCAGATTTTTTTATCTTTTAAATGATTTTAATGAACTATAAGGAGATGAATACACAAATTACAGTATATTATCAATCATTGTATAAGTATTTAGCATCAAGTCAGATTATATGTTGAGGGAGGTCGATTACGATAGAATCGTTGAATGAATAAGAAGCATTTTATCTTAAGAGAATAGGCTAAAAAAGAATTTTTATGCTGTTAAATCCATAATAAAACCTTTTGTCTTAGGATACCAAAACAATGACGCGTGTCTAAACTTTTACATATTATACTACCTTGAAAATACAAATTTGATGAAGTGCAAAATCTGTAGGCATGCTTGGTATAAACTCAGAATTAACAGGGTGTGTAATTTTATCGCACACAGAAAACTTGGACACTTCTCAATCACTCATGGACCATAAAAGTTAATCATGTTTCTAAAAACTGTTGAGCACTTGACATGATATCATTTACATGATATGATAGATGCAGTTATAATGCATCCTTTCAATGGTAAAACCTGGAAAAATTTTAATAGGGTATATATCCTCATTTTTTTATGGAACTACGGAACGTACATCTTAGATTATGTTCAGACAGATTTAATCCATTCAGGTCATTTGCTACATCATATTCTTGTCGGTTGGTGATATTTACGATTTACAACTTGTCATCGGAGATGTTTATGAGGCCAAAGTTAATGTTCTTATCTATGGTCATATTCAGTCCTAATAGTTAGAGTAGAAATATAAATAGTTGTCTTCAACCATTAGTTGATGAATAGAAGCAGTTGTGGTCATTTAAGAATTTGAGAATTTGATGTATGATGCCCTAAAAAAATATAATTTTCAGATGAAGACAACTTTGATGTGGATTATCAATAATTTTCATGTGTATAAGATAGTTTATAGTTGGAGAACGCATTGAAAGTTACCATGTCAATACTAAATAAAAAATAACAAGGTTTTCACCTTAATAAATAATGGTAAAGTATCTTTTTTATTATTATTATTATTATTATCACCAATAGTTCTTGTCAACCGATTACAAGTATAAAAATAATATAAATGACTTAATTGTAAATAGAGTTTAAAGGGATGTTAAATCATCGATACAATTGGGTACAGAATTATATAAAATTGTCTCATAGTAAAAGGACATTGTATTTAGTTTTCTCTTCTCACCTGATGCTCTTTCTTTTTCTTCATTGATAAATCCCTTTTAACTAGTGAAGAGGGGGTTTTTGTTTCCCCTTTTGATTCATGTTACATCAGTGTTTATTTTTTTGACTAATTTTTTTGATGAGTTAAAGTTTTGAATGATTTGTAGCAGCATGTGATTCACACACTTCAACACTGTTTTGATTGTCTTTAAAAGGATCTTATCTATTCCAACAATTTTTAGTCATCCTCAGCTATATTAAAGGAATTTTGAATCCATATAATATTTTAGATATTTTTATAATTTTACAATAAATTATTAGTTGTGATGGATTAATAATTTGTGGGGAACGATGGCGATAATTTGTTGGGAATAATGGTTTGGGTTAATTGTTTATTTAGCATATTGTGATTTTAACATTATTGTTAGCCTTCTTGGACTCGACAGAATATCTGACATAACTCATGCCTTCCCCCACTTTGCTCTTATCCAATCAACTCAATATAAAAAAGCACAATATAAACAAAAAAAAATCATTTACTGACAATAGTTTATTTCTATGATCATGGGAGAAGAAATACTTGCATGGATGAAGGTCTAGCATGCTGATTTAAATCTCAACTTCAGTTACTCGACAATAAACTCTCTCAAAGCTTTTGTTAACTGTAATTCATTTTGATTAACTGTAACATCAAGTGTTGCAGCTCTCGTCTTTGGTCTTTATTTCGTCTACATCCCTTCATGTTTACGAACCTTGTTACCAAACAGTTTTTTTAAATGGCAGCCATCTTCCACAAACTGGTACAATCACAGAATAAGATGCTGGGTTCGGAGGACAGGCCTCGCCGGAAGTATCCACCGCAGCAGAACCACCTGCCAAGAAACAACGCTTCTCGGTTTATATAGTGGAGACATTTTTAAAATATATCAAACAAAAAACAACTTTTTTTTCTATTTTTTAAATGGAAAATAATTGTTTGCTGATGCGTTGGAAATTGCGTTTCTAAAATATTAAATTTTTTTATTAAAATAAATATTTTATATATTTTAATTTTTTAAATATGAAAATAATTTTAAAAAAATAAAAAAAATTATTTTAATATATTTAATAAATTGACTCCATCTCCAAGGAAAGTAAGTCAAATAAAGTGTCCTTCCATGTTCACACGTGTCATACTATCCTACTTTTCAACAACGAACGGTTAGAGTAATATTAATATTAGAATAGGAAAAAAGAAATAAATAAAATACAACAAGACAGCTTGAAAACGTATTCCTAAAAATCTAAAAATCCATTGTCTTACATGAGACCGGGGATTTTCCGTGCTCCATGGCGGGGCACCTTTCGCTAATCTATTCCGCCTGCCCGTCCAGACGCGGCGCCCATTTTCATTATCATCTACTGCCCTTTCTTTCCTCCCCGCTGGATTCTTCCAAGATCCATTGCTCGATTTTGCAAGATGCACTATTAGTAGCCTGTACCTCTTGTTTGAAATTTTTATTTGTGTAATTGTAATTTTTTTAATTAAATTTAAAGATAATTAAATCAAATTTATTAACTAATGATAAAAACCAAAAATAAAAATAAAAAAATTACGCAAATAAATGATGTGATGGTTTTGAAATTCACGCAAAAATCATATATATATTTAAAGTAAATTATCTGACCTCATCAGAGTACTCTATTGTACCTAAACTAGTAAAGTAAACATCAATTCAGTATTTACACACTTTCTATTTGTGTCGATTTCTTCTTCTTCTTCTTCTTCTTCTTCGCTTGGTTCTCAGCCTGCAGCGAAGGTAATCCTTTCTTTATTTCTACTCATTAGATCCATATATAATGCACATCTCACAGTTAATTCTGCTGCTTTTTGTTAAAAACTTTTTTTTTTGTAATCTTGGCTCAATTCTTGATCTGGGTTTTGCTGTTTTTTAATTGGGTAAAATCAGTTTTAATGTTGTAATTGCAGTTTTGGGGGAATTCTGGATCAGTGGACAATGATTGACTTGTTTGTGTTTTTGTTAAAAAATAAAAATAAAAATAAAGTAGTGTTAGCTAATTTATGCCTTATGTAGAAGGGTGATGGAATCTATTGATGCTGCTTTCTTATTGTATTTTGGTTGAGTGTTTTGACTTGAATTGTTCATGCTGTTTCTTTATTTTACGAATATTTAATTATTAATTTTTCTAGTGAATTGTTCGAGTGTTTCAAGACTGTTCTCCTCGTATAAATGCTCATTTTTTCACTCTTGTTCGTTCATATCTTGTCAATCTGGTTTCTGATTCGGTGAAGTGTAAGGATGCTCCCCTTTTTTGCAGCATATGCCAAGATCATAATTGGTGTTGCTAAGCTGAGGGTTTCTTGATGGGGGGTGTTTTGAGTTTAGCTAGTCCCAAATGCAGAACAAGCGACTATAATGAGGTGTTAAATAATGGAAGCTGCAAGAGGCAAAAGACATCCCCAATTTTTTATGATGAGGAAGGCCCAAGATTGATTCCATGTCTTCCTGATGAGTTATCAATCCAGATTCTTGCTAGAATTCCCAGATATTGCTACTTTAATCTGAGTTTGGTGTCACGCAAGTGGAAGGAAACGTTTGAGAGTGCTGAGCTGTTCAAAGTTAGAAAAGATTTTGGGTTAACGGAAGAATGGCTGTTTGTATTGATAAAGGATAAAGCAGATAAATTATCATGGCATGCTTTGGACCCGTTGTCAAGAAATTGGCAGAGATTGCCTCCAATGCCAAATGTTGTTTGCGCAGACAAATCTAAAAGGGGACTTTCTGGGTTTTGGTTGTGGAATGTAGTTGGGCCAGGCATAAAAATTGCTGAAGTCATAAGGAGTTGGCTGGGGCAAAAGGATACGCTGGATCAAATGCCATTTGGTGGTTGTTCCGTTGGTGCTGTTGATGGATGCCTCTATGTGCTTGGTGGGTTCTCTGGAGCTACCACCGTGAGATGTGTCTGGCGGTTCGATCCAATCTCAAACAAATGGAGCAAAATGGCTTGCATGTCTACGGGTAGAGCTTACTGTAAGACAAGCATTTTAAATAACAAGCTATATGTTGTTGGGGGGGTTAGTCAGGGCCAAGGGAGACTGGCTCCTCTTCAATCCGCTGAAGTTTTTGACCCATGCAAGGGTACATGGTCTGATGTCCCAAGCATGCCATTCTCAAGAGCTCAATTAGTGCCCACTGCCTATTTGTCTGACATGCTAAAGCCTATTGCCACCGGGATGACTTCCTACATGGGAAGATTATTCGTGCCTCAGAGTTTATACTCATGGCCCTTCATTGTTGATGTTGGTGGGGAAATATATGATCCTGAAACAAATTCATGGGCTGAAATGCCAACTGGCATGGGAGAAGGTTGGCCTGCACGGCAGGCAGGTACGAAATTGAGCGTGGTGGTAGATGGTGAATTATATGCATTTGATCCGTCTACTTCTGCAGACAGTGGTAAGATCAAGGTATATGATCACAAAGAAGATACATGGAAAGTTGTCATTGGGAAAGTCCCTGTTGCTGATTTTACAGAATCGGAATCTCCATATCTGCTCACAGGTTTTCATGGAAAGATTCATGTCCTCACAAAAGACGCCAATCAGAACATTGCAGTTATGCAGGCTGACGTGCAAGATGTTTTGGGTTCCCCATTGAACTCAACTTCTGTTTCTTCTCAGTCCTTGCATGAGCATTCTGACTCATCGGAAACAGTTGTTTGGAAGGTCATAGCCAGTAAAGATTTTGGGTCTGCTGAACTTGTAAGTTGTCAGGTTCTTGATATATAGGGCTACTTTGATTAGTGTTTTATTTAAGATACTGATTTGTCTTAGAACCTGCACAAGTGACCAAGTACTAGAAATTGGAATTCGGTGTCTGCCCATCAAGATTGCTTCCAATTGTATTCGTGTTCTTAGAACTTGAAGTAAATTTCATGATCTGTTTGAATTGCCTGACAAGAAAGGTATCCTGATGTTTGCGAACTAAAGGTGTGGTATATATGAAGAAGACGTCAACCAGCCTGTCGTGTGTCATTTTCAATTTTAGATGTGGTGTTCTGCATTTAAAATCATTCGTGCTGCCAATTTTCTTCTCTGGAGAGTTGGACTTGTGGAGTTTAAAGGTGAACAGTAGCCATAACATTCAACAATTAGGATGTAGAGTAATTTTTACGAGTTTACAGTTTTAATTTTTCTCAATGATGTATTTCTGTCTAAAGATTTCGTGTAAGAAATATTTACGATGGTCCCTACCAAATACTAAAAAACAATCTAATACAATAAAAGGGTGCGTCTGCTTTGCTTGGTGCACCGTAAGAAGATCTTGAGTCCCATATTTTGGTGGTTTCTGCATTCAACGTATAAGCCTACAGGTAGGCCGGCTTGACCTCGGGAGCATACCATGTCGAAACCGAATTTCTTACAACTCTTCAACTTGCCATCATAGGGAAGGATTTTTTAGTTTCTTGCTCCATTTTTCTAAAACAGCGAAGTAAACTGTTTAATTGAAAAGCTGAGCAGAGGATCCAGCTCTGCTATAAGTCTTTAGAATAAAAACTGATGAAACCAGCAACCAACTTTGAAGCTATTCAAGATACTGTTCGAGGCAAAATGACCATTTTCTACAGTCCATTTGTCCATGCCATCGTATTTGTGTAGATCAGCTCTAGCACGAGACACAAGATTTTAATGGGAGCCAAACTTTCTAAGCAATGCAACTATATCCGTACTTCCATGGGTAGCAGAGTGCCACTATTATTCCTCTCTATCCATATACAAGAGTAGTAAGTAATCCCAAACAAGTTTCCTCTCCAGAAAATTCTTGACAGCTATCCAAGCTCAAGATTCTGGTCCCCAAAAACCATGCGAACGCCCACTATGGTAAGGATATTTTGCCACTTCATTTTAGTAATAGCACAAGCGAAGAAAACATGCTTCGCATATTCATTTTTATTTGATGACCGTAGATTATTCTTAGGCTAGTTTTGTGCCATCTAGACTGAACCCATTTTTCTCTGAACAGCTCAAAAACAAATCATCTATAAATTGGAATTGAAATATTCATGAATTTGTAACCTTGATTGACAAGGTTGGAATTATACCCAGTTGCCAATCAAGCCAACACGAGGCAATAGTTCATTGTTTGAAGCACATAACAGGCAAGAAAGATAATATTGTACCATCGTTTCGTGTGATAACGAAGCTCATCTCTTAAAGTTATATGACTGTATTTCATTTGTTTTGTGTTTGTCATACGAAAAACTACGTGCAGAAAACTGCTCCAATAAATTTATCTTTATCTTAAAAGCAATATAAGAATATGGTAAATGTGTGACGGAGACACAATGGATGGAAGCTTGGTTTTAATCTTTTATGTTACCCCTTAGTGGGACTCCGTTTCAGCGGTTGATGAAGATTCAGTTCAAACGTGACAAATCATTCGACTGGAAGGAAAAGGACAGCTTAAAGGCAAATGTTAGGTGGCAAATCTGGACAAGCTGGCGTTAGGTAACAGAAATGGACAACTCTAATGTCTGATGTCAGGTCTTGGTAAAAGGAAGCCCAGAGCATTCATGGCCTAGTTACAAAGTGTTGAGAATTGTACCATAGATGCTAGGCCTTAGAATTTGGGCTATCAACTTCAAGAATTGGTTTGGTGCCGTTGAGCTGCAAACATATTGAAATAACTAGCCCAGCACATTTACTGCGAAACTCATGGCTCGGAATTAAATGAGAATTGAGATGACCCAACTCATTTAAACGCATTCTCTCGTAGCTGGCCATGAAAGTTATTCTGGGCTGTGACCGTGCTTGTGGATGAACTGATTTTTCAATCGAGAAAAAAAGGCGTAGATTTCGACTTCAGTATGAGAGCTATCAAAATGATAAATGCATTATCAAAATTGATTTCAGAAAGCCGTTTGACAATATTCAGTGGCCTTTCCTGCATATTGTTCTTTTTTTATTGGGCTTCACTGCTCGTTTTGCTGGCATGGCCATGTGTGGAGACAACTTTATATTTAATTTTTGTAATGATGATTTATTTGGTTTTTTTTAATAGGCAATGTGGTGTCAGTCAACGGGATTCCCTTTCCCCCTATTTTTTTTCTTTGCTTGTATGAAATTTTTTTTAGAATACTTACTTTAAGTCATCAATAATCTGATTTCAATTTTCATTTTAAATGAAAAACTCTGAAAGTTAGCTATTTAGTTTTTACATATAATATCATTTTTTTTTATGTGTAATATGTTATCTATTAGCAACCTATACCAACAACTTCTTTCTTTTAGTTGTTTGGTTTTGATGCTAATGCTTTTAAATTATCTATTTTTTTAGTAAGATCGGTGATGACACTAAGCTAGTATGTCTTAGACTTTTTGACTTTTTAAAGGTCAGTTTCCCTTTAAATACCTTAGTGTGTCTCTTAGTTCTCATTTCTTGTTTGTCAATTAATTTTCTCTTTTCTTGCAGAAGCTTGAATTGTCCATTCAAAGTTAAGTGAGTAAGCATCTATCTTATGATGGCCGGCTTGAGCTCATCAAATCTATTATACATGGTATGGTTCAATTTTGGCTAGCTATTTTCCCTGTTCTTGCTATTATTATCAATAAAATCAACAATCTATGTTGCAGTTTTTTCTAATCTGGTAACTATTTATTTAAGCATTTTGCCCTTGTTGCTTAGTTGTGTCTTCCTAAATTTGAAGGAGGTCTTGGGCTTTTCGATGCCACGATAAAAAACAAATGTTTTTTAGCTAAGCAACTATGGAACATCCATAAAAAATATGATTCTCTTTAAATCCATTGGGTTAATCATTTCTATCTTCCATATAACTCTATATGGGCATTGGAAATGCAAAATCTAAGCAACTATGGAACATCCATAAAAAATCTGATTCTCTTAAGATCCATTGGGTTAATCATTTCTATCTTCCATATAACTCTATATGGGCATTGGAAATGCAAAATTCTTCTTCCCCTCTATGAAAATCAATTTGTTCTTTTAAAAGTCACTTGATAGCTCAACTTGGAAGAATTTTTAATGTTATTGCTACTCTTCATGGTTGACAGTATTGATCAGGGTCTTTCCTAGCTAATGCTCGTGAGTTCTTTTGGTTAAAAAGTAATGCTATCAATTGGCATAATACGGTTTAGGAGCAGTAATCTTTACCATGATATAATTTTATTCTATGGCTTGCTATCCTAAGTAAGCTCAAAATAAAAGATCGTCTCGGCTTTCTCTTCAGTAATCCTATTATATCCTATGTAATCGAGGGGAGGAATCACATGCTCACTTGTTCTTCAGTTGTGACTAGTTTTTATAGTTATGGAGTCATATTAAGTAGTAGTTTCAGCTAAATTGTTCTATGTCTTTCCTTTCTGGCCAGCTTAGAGGTCTTTTTGATAAAAATAAAGGGTTGCACCAAAGAATGAAACAAGTTGTTTTTACTCTTCTTATGCAGTTAATTTCAAATGAAAGAAACAAACGTATATTTAAGCATGTTTCTAAGACACTTGATGCAGTTTTCTGCAAGTTTTAAGTTCAGTTCTTCATGGTTCCTCATTTCTACGAGAATACTATTCTTCTGTTATATGAATGCATGACAATGTCTTGGTCATGCATGTTTTACATGATGGTGTTTTGTTGTTAAGCTCATTTTGATGGTCTTTGTCTCTTTTTATTTGTCTTTTTGTATTGTGTATGTTTTTTATGGTTCTTTATTTGGTTTCCAATTATTGTTAATAGGTTAGGCTTAACACCTCCCCTAAGTTCGGGTTTTTAGTCTAACCTTTTCTTGGTTTCTTTCTGGTTTTTTGTTTGTTTAAAGAGTTTGCTCTTTCTGCTTATTTATTTGTTTTATATTCTGGTTTATGTGAATTTCATAGTTATAATTTTTAATTTTTTTATATTTTTAATTTAATAATAATGATAATAATAATAATAATAATAATAATAATAATAATAATAATAATAATAATAATAATAATAATAATAATAATAATAATAATAATAATAATAATAATAATAATCTTTAACCTTCTAAAATCACAAGAGTAAAAATCAATTGGTTCTCGTGGTCTAACGAAATTAATTAATCAATCCCCATTGTTTCAACAGTTAATTAAGTGACCGTGCAGCTGTGCTTACTGTTATTTCACCCATGCAAAAATCTGACTTTTCTCTTGGATTAACTTGCTAGTGGGATCTCCCTTGCTCCGTTATCTCTCTCTCCTGTGTTTCTCTCGGCATTGGGCTGGCAAATGAGATAATAGATAAATAAAAGCAATAGTTATTGTCTTCCTTTTTTTCTTATTTTATAGTGTTTTTGTTTTTGTTTTTAAGAAGTGTTTTAGAAGATTTTTTATTTTAATATGATAATGTTAAAAACTAATTTTTAATATATATAAGAAAGCACACGGTCAAAACTATTATCCAAATGAGAAATAAAAACAAGTATGATACAACAAAACTGAAGTGTCATTTTCGATATTCCTTGGGTTGCCTTTTTTCAGTTAGATTCAGGTGAAACAAAACAGAACTCTGATTCTGAAAGTCTCCCATTCCAGTAGTTTCTTTCTACATCAAGAAATTCAATAACCAGACTCTCCTTCATTCTTTGGGTTTGCTCTCATACTGTTCTCATAATTCACTAACATCCCTCTTGTTGCTGCATCAAGAAATAGAATCTTGGGGATTCAAAAGTTCATTCTCAAGTGTAAAGAACGCTCCTTTTCAGTCATAATCAGTTGAAAGATTGCTTCTTTCTTGGATTCCGAGGAAGAAATCACTATATTTGATCTGGGTTCTTGGTGTTTTGTTTTTTAGATAGTATACAAGTAGCGCTTTTAGTCACTGTTGTTGAAAGTCCTTTTCAAAGAGACTTTGTAGTGAAGGATACGTACCTGGATCTTTAGTAGAGTTTAAAGGGTGTTTGTTCTCTTTTGTTTTGGGATTTCGTAGAAATCATTATAGAGGCGGGGTTTCAGTAAGAGATTCGTCAATGGCAACACCACCTTCGATTGAGCTCAGATTCAGGTTACCAGATGGCAATGATATTGGGCCAAACAACTACACTGAAGCAGCCAATGTGGCGACTCTTAAAGAGCATGTAATTGAGCAATGGCCAAAAGGTTACAAATCTTTTTCACCTATTGGTTAACTTGAGTGCTTCTTGAATTACTTCTACTATCTATGTGTTTTGCCTCTTTGATTATTATTTTTACGCTGTCTGATGCGTGTACGTCTTGGTTTTTGATTCATTGCTTCGAAACTGAGATAGCTTTCAGTTTTTAAGGCTTTATTCTTGTTCTTTATGATTGTATGTTTCTAGGAATCTTTCATTTTGATACTTCTTATCTTGCCTTGTAGACATTGAGTACATCTTGTTTACCTTTTAATGGCCTTAATGTAGTTTTGCAAGTTATTTACGAGTTAGATGATTTTATCCTTATTTTCACTTCTCCAACGTGCAACAATTCTGGTAATTTCGGAGTCTATTGGGACATTAAAGACTCTGGAAGAAATGGAAACCAATTAGATTTAGATAATTTACTTGCCAAATTGGTTGAACTAAAGAAAAAGTTAAGTGCTGTTTCAAAACTAATTTGCTGGTTGCTGAAAGGAAACTTGATGTCAAGAATGGCTGATGCTGTCCTTGTTAGTACTCTGTGATTTCCGGTAAATGTATGAAAAGGAACGAGAATGGTCACAATGCCAAGTTTTGAATGTTGAAGTTTGTAATTTGTGGCTTTTCCATTATAATGGATTAATCTAAACTTGTGTTATTCTAATATTTTAAAGCCTCCTATTCTGCATTTTGTGGTGGCAAGTCCATAGTTAATGTGGATGGTAATTGGAAAATATCTTTCTCTTTCTCTTTCTCTTTCCCTTCAGTTTGCATTTGTACAAATACGGACAAAGGGTAATCATTTGGAAAAGGCACTTATAGAAGTCTTTCTTGCCCTAAATCTTGAAATGCGGTGTGGTTTAGTTTGATTACCAAATTGCATTTTGATGTCCAATTGACTTGCATTTTCTAATATGATCGTGTCTCACTTCACAGACAAGGAAAATGGCCCGAAGACTATAAAAGATGTGAAGCTTATATATGCTGGACATGTACTGGAAAACCATAGAACACTTGCCGAGTCCAGACTTCCTGTCGGTGATAGTCTCACAGGTGTAGTCACCATACATGTTGTTCTGCGTCCTCCTGGTGCACGTATAAACAATGGTGGGTAATCCACGTAGCATGCTATAGATAGTATTTCAGAATGTGCTTGAAACATGCATCTGTGTGGATTATAATGGCAATAGACTATATGACTCATAAGTCATGATAACTATTCGTGAATTTTACCTTGTATTACCACTATGAAGTCATTGATGTCTCATTTGATTACGTGTGTGTGCATCACCTAAATACATTGCTCCTAGTCAGACTAATTAATTGAGATGGGGAGAAGCTAAGATACTTTTTTTATTTTTAGTTTTCTTTTTGCGTGAGCTTGTGCTTTTAGTATCTCCCTTATCAGCTCATGTTGATGTAGGGAAGTAACAATGTTAATTCACTTCATTATCAATATATTCGGTCCCCCGTCATCCTGCTTGTATTTGACTGTTACATTGAATATCCTCACTCATCCGAGAAGCGTTCTGCCCTTTTTAATCATAAGCTAGCATGTAGAGGAGGCAAGAAGTTTCACTGACAGTGAACTCAGGCAACTTCGCTGTTATCTTCATGTTTCCATTTTAAACAGCATCCAAAGGGTTTGCCTGAAAAACAATGGAAGGAATGGATAGTGCTACTCAGCACCCGAAGAACTAACACTCAATGTATCTTTTACAGGTGATCAGCGCAATGATGTTGAATGGCGGGAGGGTTGCTCATGCTCAATCTTGTAGTTGCAAGAAGAAAATATTCTGAAGCTGCTTCAGTTGGTATAGGAGCCTTTAATGTGCAGTGTGTTAGACAGTAGATGAGGTGCAGTTTAAAATTTCGGGAACTCCAAATTTCAAATGGCTTTAGAAACAAAAAAAACTTGAAAGTCCACCACCAGCATGCCCTTTGTTTCTTTCTTCTTTTAGTTTCTTTGGCACACTACTGTGCTGTTCATTCATTAGTGTTGGCAAATGCTAGGAAAGAAATTTGTCAGTGTGGATTAGAAGTTCAGTTGATATATAGGGTTTATCCTACCAACAGAAAGGAAAAGGAGAGCAAGAGAGAGAGATAGAGAGAGCGAGAGAGAGTAGAAGCGCTTGCAGAAGAATTTATGATTTTGCTTGGATCTGTTGTTATCACACTGGCTTCTGAAAAGTTACAGAGAAGGTACAGCGTGCGATTTTTTACACGATCAATAAAACTTGCCAGATATCCACTCTGGGTTGAGTCCCAACTTTTTATCAACTTCATTTGATTTATGGCGACTCTAGTGGACCTTCCATTAGAAACGTTACTGGCAGTAACGAATTAATCAAGGATCACGCTGTCACCATGTTCTCCGGGACGTTTCGGATTGCAAAATTTTACCGGTTCTTGACTATAATATTTATTCAAACATCATGCTGTGTTTCAAGTTGGGCAAGTAACCTCTCTTATGAATCGCATCATTAGGCAAGCGCGTATATCAAATGAAGTTGTAGCTTTATCGAAGGTCACCTAATCATGGAACCTGTTCAATAATGGCTCCTGCATGCTCCGGCACCTAAAGGAAAACTTCAGGAAAGAATGAAAAAGGCACGACTGGTAGAGTGGAGGGGGAGACATAGCAACGGGGAGGAATTGACTCCAAGGCATTTTGCTAGCTTTTCGAGTGACGAACCAAAATTGATTTAGCTGGTCAAATAACTTGATTACTATGCAGTATAATGAATTACAGGAGAGAGCAAAAAGGTCATAATTTTATACGAGCTATATATACCTTATGATGCTAACAACCAGCAAAACACGATTTTATTTACAGAAGGTACAACTGCTTCTACGCTTTTGGCATCCCATTGCAGGCTTGTCGTATTTGAAACTTGACTTGTGCCAACTAATTAGCCAGTAAATAGCAACCAGCAATCTACATAATTAATTAATCACGGGAGGCAGTATGGGGATATGAACTTCTGAACTCCATAAATGGGATTTCTGAGACTTCGTAAAAAAAGCACTAAAGGAGGCTTTTAAAGATGGCTACGAGGAATGGTCCCCAAGGGAGGCTGATAATAAGCGGTTTAAGTATAGGGCTTCCTTTGATGCCGAGCATTCTTGAGAGTCATCATGAGCTTCTGTCTCTCACCTTCAACCTCTGCAAATTGAAGGCTTAGCTGAGAATAGCGGTCATGCATCTCTTTTAGTTGAGTCTCCACAGTTGTATACCTTCCCTTTAGTTCCAGCATGTCCTTGATCAACTCATTGATGTCTCTAAAGCTTTTGAATATGGCTTCCTCGTCACTGTGTTGTTTCAAGAAAGAACTAAGCAGAATGGGAAAATTTTATATTCGTTAGCTTTCTTTTCAGAGGTTTTATCTAGTGTATAGCACCACCAATTATAGGTTCACATATCAAGGAAGATTCTATAAAAAAAATTATGATAAAATTTCATATAATTTTCTACGTTACTACCAATCTTGAGCAAGTTTAACCATCTACTGTGCAACCTAGTGTACGGCAAATGGACAAGGTTAGAAAGAGAATTTTCTACTTTACTACCAATGCCAACAGGAATTCTAGTATCCCAGGTGTTTTCACAGCTGGATTGAGTGGCATACCTCTGAAAGAGAATGCTTGATCTTTTCTTTGCTTGCAACGCTTCAGCAAGCTCAATTTCTAATGCAAGCACCCTCTCTAGAGCATTTCCACACCCTGAGAATTCATTGAACAAGGGGAACATGGTTCCTAGTTCTTCATTGGCCTGAGCACAGAGCAGAAAGTTAAGTGTCCAGATGAAGAGAGCTATTACACTGAAAGGTGCAGATAGCGACCAACTTACCTTCTGTAGCTTCATAAATTCACTTTGTAAACCTGGAAACTTTTGGTCAAAATCATTATCATCTTGCAGCAGAAGTGAATTTTCGTTTTTCATCCTTTCTAACTGCATGCAAAAGAGAAAAAAATAAAGATTTAGAAGTTAGTTTTGTAAATTTACATTTACCAAATGGCTCTAATGCTATCTAAGACCTATGTTCCATTTCCATTTCTGTGCATAAGAATGTTTGACAGATGAGCAATCTGTAGGCATCATCTCCCTGGGCTTCAGAGTGCAGATATGTGTACCTGATTACTCAAGTGGTCCATGCTAGACTTTAAACTTTCAGCTCTGAAATGATCATTGATGATAGCTAAATGCTTCATGTCAATATGCAGCAACCTGTCTTGATTTATGAGCGCAGAACTTTTCATCCCATTTACACCACAAGATACACGAACATCCTGATAAGCAATTACAAAAATAAATGGTTAGAGGAAAACTTTCCAACATTATAAATTTTGCAATAGAGAGGTTGAAGAATAAGGATAGCAAAATTACAATTTTCTTTACAGAAATTCAAATATTTTACTGGCTCACACCAAAAGATATGATAAACTTTAAACCATTGACTATCAATAAATAGTAAACACGAATTTCAAGGAAATATTTAAAAGATACTTAATTCTTTATGAAACAAAAACCACTAGGAGAAAATAACACAGATATCTAATCACAATTATATTATTTTGTGTGCTATTTTCTTCTTTTATTCAACAAGTTGTTCAAAAATTAAGTTACATTATTTTTCCACTGGAAAGTAACAATACTTCAGAGACAGCAAATCTTGGACTTTTGAGACAGGAAGCGAAGGCTTGTTTCTGACTTACGCACAACTAAATTATGAAATAAGTGAAAAGGATGAATACAGGTACATTTATAGCATCTAACAAATTCTAATTGTGGATATGTAACATGATTCATTTAAGAAAGACTGAAATTTCTTCTCAATTTATGGTAGGGGAGACAAATATATGTTACCACAAACTAATCAAGTATATATTTAATTATCCTCTTGCAATAACATAATCGAACTTGAGATATACTGAACAAATTTTCAATAACACAACCACCAAGTTTTTGTTTCATTGATTACCTGCTCAGGTTGCCCATTCATGAGCGTGCTTGAATAGTCAGCTCTGTCAAAAGAGGCATGGAATGCATGTTCTGCTTCTTCACAGTTCCTCAAACTATGCCTTCCCAAACACTTCTGGTTTGGATTCCCCGTTGGACCATTCAAAGGGACCATGTGTACTCTTTTTCTTTCATAGCTTAAAGCATCAATGATTGAGTTTTCGTCGCTGGAATTTCTGATAACTGACTCGTCGGAAGACAAGCAATCCACTTTGCAAGCTCCATCATTTTGTTCTGCTTGTATGTCCACTTGTGATTTGGAATTCTCTAGCAATTCTTTCATCGAGGCAAGTTCAACAGCAATTTTTGACCTCTCCTTGTTGCATTCTTCCAAGGCAGCTTCAAGTTTTTGTTTTTCTTCCTTGCAGCACTCAAGACTTATTAATGAGCATTCCATTTCAGCCTTCATCAGGTCATAAGCATTCACTTTTTCACGTTTGTCAGAAAGGACAGATTGTAACTCAGCCTCCAATTCCAAGATTCTCATTCCCAGTTCTTCATTTTTCTTCAGATGAGAAGCTTCAGATTTCTTCCTATTCTCAATTTCATCAATGGCATCTTGTAATTTCCATAGCATCTCTTCACTGTGTTTTTTGGAGATGGACAGCTGCTGCTTCTGTTCTTGCAGCCTTGTTTCGCACTGCTCTCTGATAAATGCAATTCTCAAGGACTCTTGCATGGCAACCGGTGGTCCTTCAGGTTCTCTTTTTTCACGGGCCTGGATAAATTCAGCATCAGCTTTGTCTTTGAGCTCTTTCAAATGGATAGACAAGTTTCTGAATTCTTCGGTCTTCAAAATCTGATCAGAAAGCCTCTGGTTCAGTTCATTGCAGTGCTTCTGCAGCATCACTAATTCATCATAATATCCTTCAAGGGTAATGATCTGAGCTTTGTGTTCATCCAATTTTGCTTCAAGTACTAGAAATTTTACTTCCAGCTCAACCTTGGAGAACACCAGATTATCAATGTCTTCTTCAGATGTCACCAACAAGCACTTCAGCTTTTCAAACTCTTTAGAATGCTGAGCTTTATCCTCAATATAACTAAGCACAACATTTTGAGAGTTATTTTTGAATCCCTCGAGCTCAGCTCTTTTTGTCTCGACAAGTAACCTGTTTTCAGCAATAGAAGCCTCTAGCTCAGACTGAACAGAGTTGACATTTGTCAACAGCCTTGCATTCTCTTCAATGTATTGTGTTTCACTTGCATGACAGTGATTAAGGATGATTTCCATGTCAATATGCTTCTTCTGAAGTTGGGCGAAGTGTCCATCTGAGGAGTTCAGTTTCTGAAGCACTTCAACTCCACCCTCGTATTGAGTCTTCACAAAAATGAATTGAACATCAGCAGCTATTAAAGATTTGTGCATCTCAGACAACTGAGATTTGAGAGTGGAAGCTTCTTCACGAGCATTTTTAAGACATTCCTCTGACTGCAACAAAAGTTGGCAAACTCTTGATTTCTCAGATTCTAGACCCGACACCAAGTGTTTAAGATGAGTCAATTCAGACTCGTGGAGATCAAATTGGAGCAACTGGCACTGCTTCTCATTTAATTGGGAAGTTAGATCTGTTACTGTACTCTGTAACCCCTCTCGCAAGCTTCTCTCATCATGCAGCTCATCATTCAGAGATAGCAAACTCGCTCTCAAGCTGATCATATCTGAAGTGAGTTGGGCAGACTCCTCAGTTTTATCCTGCAAAGACACCATCAAAGCTTGCTTTTCATCTTGCAAAGATTGCAGGCATTCTCTCAAACTGTTTAGCTCCGATGCAAGCTTGGCAGATTCCTCTGTCTTATCCTGCAAACATGCCATCAAACCTTGGTTTTCATCACACAAAGATTGCAAACTCTCCTTCAAAGTGTCAAGCTCTGATGCAAGTTTGGAAGCTTCCTCGGTTTTATCCCATGAAGATGTCATCATAGCTTGTTTTTCACCATGCAGAGATTGCAAACTTTCTTTCAAACTGTTTAGCTCCAATGCAAGCTTGGAAGAGACCTCCTCTTTATCCTGTGAAGATGCTATCAAAGCTCGGTTTTCATCGTGCAGAAATAGCAAATTTTCTTTCAAACTATTTAGTTCTGATGCACGGTTGGCAGCTTCCTCGGTTTTATTCCGTATAGTTTCCATCAGAACTTGGTTTTCATCATGCAGGGTTTTGATGCTATCTTTCAAGTTGCTCAACTCTGAAGCCAGCTGAGCAGACTCCTTATCTTGAGAAGATGCCATTAAAGATTGATTTTCATCATGCAGAGATCGAAAACTTCCTTTCAAACTCTCGAGTTCGTATGCAATCCTGGAGGACACCTCATTTTTATTCTGTATAGATTCCATCAAAGCTTGATTTTCTTTCATAAGTTCTGCTGCAGTCAGCTTAGTTTTATCAAGTTCAGTAGCAACACTATCTAATGCCAAGATTTTGTGACCAAGGTCCCTGTTTTTAGAAATAAGTTCTTTCAACTGAACTGCCAAATGATCAAAATCAGAAAAAAGTTCATTGTGCTGCTGTGAACATTTTTCTTCGACTTCAGAGCTAACCTTGAGTTTGTAAGCAATACCCTCAATGTCCAACTGAAGCTTCTGCACCAAAGCATTCGACACATCTAATTTATCCACCATGTTCCTCATATCACATTCAAACTTCTGTTTCAACAATGCAAGCTCTGATTTAGCTGCAGCAATGAACACTTGTGCAGTATCTCTCTCATGAACCAGACTTTT